ATTACATTAGATTACATTATATTACATTATATTACATTATATTACATTATATTACATTATATTACATTATATTACATTATATTACATTATATTACATTATATTACATTATATTACATTATATTACATTATACTACATTACATTACATTATATTACATCATATTACATTATATTACATTATATTACATCATATTACATCATGTTACATCATATTACATTATATTACATTATATTGCATTATATTACATTATATTACATTACATTACATTATATTACATTACATTACATTGCATTACATTGCATTATATCATACTATATTATATATACATTACATTACATTGCATTATATCATTTTATATTATATACATTTACTATATATATGTATCTTTATATATATATATGTTCATCATTGCTCACTCCACATGAATTACCACAGAAGGATCCTGCACAGAGCCAGGTTGATTTGGCACCCGTAAGATAAGAACATAAGCCAGATACCGACCTGCGTCGCATTTGGGTCCCTGAGCCACTCACGCATGTGCACCTTTGACCTGCTGTCGTCGATATTTCTCCTGGCTCAGGAGCTTGTTGGAGTTTAAGGTTGTGGACGTCCGAATCTTGACCTCCTGCCGCGATGGCTTGGAAACTGATCCCAGCCTAAAGACGCTGTCCTATGTTCCAATCTGCCTGCTGGTGAAGAGATACGGGGATGAGTTCGTATGGTAGATCAGGGAATGGATGACAGAAGCATCCAAACTATATGACCATGCCTGACCTTGCGATCGATTTGCGCAGTCTTACTGCGGCACACACAACTGAAGCAATATTTACATAGTTACTCTCCTTCTGTTGATTCTTACTACCGTGTCAACGTTTGTAGACACAGACAAACCCCAATGCATGATACTCAATGGAACCTCGAGTGCTCCCAACACAGCCTGTGGGGTTCATCCTCGCAACCTACCAGACCCCTGCCAGTGGACCCGGAAACGCAGCAAACAACCGCTTCTGGTGCTGTGGTCCTGTTGATCGACGACTTTTCGTCTAACATACCTGAGACGTTCCGATTTCAACACACTCTGCCACCAGGCTGCTTCTCTGGGCGCAAAAGCATATTCTGAGTTTAAATGGCACAGAGGGCTGAGGAGCTTCCGCTGCAGCTTGCGGCATGCTTTGGGGCCCTGGCGGCGTCTCACCGCTGGGCAGCGGCCGACCATTTGGTGGCACGCGGTTTGCGGAGGCCTTGCAGCGGCTTCGAAGGCTTGTGCAGGGGGCTGCTGCTCTGAAGGGCTCTAGACGGGTGTCCCATGTCGTGATCGGATCTGAACGGAGGCTTTTTCAATTTTGGGCTGTCGTGGGGATCACAAGCCCGTTTGGCTTGGATGCAAGCCACGCCTGCCCAACGTTGGGCGCAGACGCAGAGTGGTTGAGATCGCTTCCTGCAATGCAAGTGTGACTGAAACCCACACCAGCTTAAACCAGACAAGACTCGCAACTCTCAACTTTTTCGCCCTGCTTCGGCATCTGCTCAGCTATAATGGATAGCTCCGTGCTTTGTCCCCGCAGTGAGCGTCAAAATCCAATCTTTGATTAGCTTTAGCTTCCTCCTGACCTGCATACCCGCTTGAATCTGCAGCTGCACAGTAGGAAGTCGTGCTGAGCCGCTGGAGGTAGCTCGCTCTACTCTTCACCAGCCTCTCGCCCCAGTCTTAGCTCGCAGGGCCATGATGTTGGCCTGCAGAGCGGGAAAGCAAAGCACAGGCATCAATTTATGCGAGGAATCGAACGGTCAAGCTTCCGTCCACTGTGGAGCAGATTAGATGTTGTTACTGCTCGCTTGTTGGGTCAGGTCTTCTACCCGCCAGCAAACCAGAGACGCCCATACCTCCATCTCGCGGCAGCTTCGCTGATATGACCTCGGAGACAACGACGATGGGCGGCCGGCCCGGTTGCTTCCAGGTCCGCTACCCAACCGTCAGCGGTCTGTCTTGAAAGATGTGGCTCGACCTAGATGCATATCAAAAGCAGCAATACCTATACATCACGGGCGGTACAGTACTGGCAGTGGCAAAAACATGCAAAAAACATAGTCAGCATACAGCAGTGGCGAATATACATTTTTGCTGATCTTTATGCGGGCAAGCGGGCGGGCGTGTGTACGTGCATGCGTGCTCGAGGCGGTGTGCACGTGTGCGTGTCTGTGTGCTAGAGACGTTTCACCGGCGCAGGATGTCGAAAAGGAGAAGTAGAAGGACGGGATGGCCTCTAAGAAAACAAAAACCCCACAGTGATGTGGGGAACTAGCCATATCGATCATCACCTCAACAGCAGAAGTGCCAAAGGCCTCCCGCAAAACGTTGGCAGCCACCTGTGATATTGGTGACCCAAAGCCATTACCCCAAGCCCATGCCCTGAAACACTCAAGTTCTTAAAACACCCTCAACCCCGGTCAACCCCTCACCCTGACACCCTCAAAAGCCCTGAAACCCTCAAATCTCCATGCTGGGAGGCGGGCCGATTCTCGGACCTCAGCGTGTTCATCTCAACGATGAGTTGCGCGTTCTCCGACCTGAGGCATCGGATACGACGACACCCAACTAGGCTGAGGCTTTTTCAGGGTTGCAGATCTTCTTTATTTGGGGCTTGAGGGCTTACAGCTTAGGACGGTTCATGGGTAGGGCGTCTGCACGTGGGTGCGGCGTACGGAAGCCTGTAGGCCTTTGTGTTTAGAGGGTGGGGCTGAGGGTTTCCATGATCTGAAAAGAACCCAGAACCCAATACTTGATTCAGAGGAGTTGCGATCGAGGCTCTGGCAACTGGTGAACACCCAGCTTAAAGGCAGAGATTGTAACCGCAAATCCTGAAAGAACACAATCCTTGTACTCCACGCACTCGACGACCCTAGACTATATTGCTCAACCATGTGACAATGAAGACCCGGCGGAACTGTTGGGATTCAAGGTTTAGGGCGCCAAGAACCTGCCTAAACCCCAAACCCGAAACGCTATGAAGCCTAAAACACCTCGCTTCTCGGATCCGGACGTCAGCTTGCGCACGTCCTGCTCGCACTCGCGCTTGGTTTGCGCGGCGGCCCTGGAGGCTGCGCTCGTAGTCTCCGCAACAGACAGCCCGGAGACGGATAGAACGCAGACAATGGCAATTTTTTCTGAGGGGTTGGATGCTTTGAACGTCAAAGTCAGCTGAAGAAGATGTGGTTCAGGATGCAGGCCGAAAACCAAAGCTACCGAGAACTGACTCCGTGAGCAAATGAGACCTCCCTAAGCGCTCAGCTTGGGAATCAAGGACCCTGCAAACCGGAAACCAGGGTACAATATGCAGCCGATATATATATATATATACATACATACATATACATACATACATATATATATATATATGTGTGTGTGTGTGCGTGTGTTTGCATCTCTGTGTGTGTGTATATATATATATGTATGTATATATATATATATATATTTATATTTATATTTATATATTTATTTGTTTATTTATTTATTCATTTATATGCACACATATCTGGGACCCCTGGCGCCGTGGCAATCTCCTTCTTTCGGAAAAGCAGATCTCGCTGGATGACCATCTCCTCGTGAAGTGAAGGGCGCTCCAGGTTTCCACTTCTGGAAGGGAGGAGCAGAGAATCCGAGTGCACTCAGTAGCTCCCCACTCCTCGACGAGGACCTTACTCTTGGCGAGCTCTCCCTCGCCTCAAGGCAAGGCTCCAAAGATGGAAGAAGGCTTCGGAGTCAAAGGCGCCATCAATTCTGAGCATCCCGAAGCCACCGCGTAGTGAGTTTAGTGAGGGCCCGACCCACATCCTCGGTTTTCTCCTCCGTGTGCTTCCAGGCCTAGCGTGTGGTAGAGGTCTCTTGTTGAGCGTGCTCCTTTGTACCTAAATTTGAGGACTTCCGGCTAAGAAAGAAGCACACAAACTCCGAAATTGAAACCCGGTCTCCATGCTCTGAACGCGGGAAGCTTGGCCGATGGCAAGTAACTTCTGATGACGCTCCAACACAGCCTCACAGCACAAAGAGGCACCGAGAGATCCAAGAGGGAGAGGAGTCCGCAAGATAGAACGTCGTGCTGAGATGCAAGTCGCTTTTCCGCACCTGCCCCTTTTGGCCCCGGGTGTCTCCATACAGGAGGACACAGGTCTAGAGCCATCTATAGACTTTATAGAACATGCACGAAAACGACGCGAGACGTCTAGTGGCCTCCTCGGGCTCACGCAACGATCAGGCGAAAGCATTGCCATGTGGAAAAAACAATCAGACAGCTTCGAACTCAGGGACTACTGAGAAAACGTGGAGCAAGAAGCTCTCCCCTTCTGCCTGCAGTCTCTTTGGCATCTGCGTGTAGTCCTCAGTCGTCTCTGGGTGAAGCACGGTCTCGACCTCCAAAGCAGCATTCCTACAGACGAGGTGAGGGAACCTTGTCGACTTGGATTCTTGACCGTGTGTTCTACTCTGGGAAGCAGAAAGTCCTTCGCGTCCAATCCTTTTCGAGCCTCTTACTCCACAAAACCCTAAACAACACCCCGAAGCACTGGACTCCGTGTGGAGAACGGCTGGGGCCTCCTGGATCAGCCTGCGGCCATCCTATCGCTGCAACGGGAAGATGACATAGGGCTTTTGGGCTTTCGGGTTGGGTATGGGGTTACAGCTTTAAAGTTCTCGTTTCGAGTTAGCCAAAAAGTGCCTTGTTGCAACTGCTTTCCTTGCCAGCGGTACACGCTTCTTCTGTGCCACTGGCATTCCAGCTGCACGAATCCTTCCGCCGGGAGGAGAGGTCAGAACGGGGGATGGCAAGCCCAGTGAAGAGATGCTCTTACGAAGCATCTGAGCACTGCTATGATCTGCACAAGACGTATCCGTTGTCCAGGGAATGAGCCTGAATCCCCTGGACCCTAAAGCCTAAAAACCCCAAACCCTAAACTCCCTAATAAAAACCCTATAGGCCCTAAAGCAGCGGCTCCTTCTTCAGCTGGATGAGTTGAGCTCTGAGCCTCGACTCCACTGAGGAAAACAGTTGGTCTCTGCAGATGTATGGCATAATATGAGATGTACTACATCCTACATAGTGAGAAGTATATACGTAACAGTATATGCTGGGGAGGATGGGTTTTTCGGGTTTGGGGGCTTTATTTGTCGGTTTTTACGGTTTCGGATTTTACGGTTTAGGGCTTCGGTGTTGAGGTTCCCCTGCTCTCCATTGCCACACCGGCTTTGCGGTAGGGTGCTGCCCTCAAAGATGCCAAAACAAGCGCAGCCAAGAGGCTCCACGTTCTCTTGCTGCAGAGATGAGGACCGCATGACCTTGTCCTGGGCGCCAGGGCTTGAAGCTTCGGGGGCTGGCCCGCTCAAGTTTTGCCCACAGTTAGAGTGAAGAGAATTAAAAAGACTCACAGTAATGGTGATCCTACGAGCAGAGATGATAGCAACAAGGATCGTGAGCAGAAGAGCACTTCCAGGGGGCACTGAGAACCCGGCACTGAGAGCCTGGTCCAGCTTCTGCTTCTGCCGAAACTCACGGACAAACCTGAGAAAGAAACTTGTCCGGTTTGGGAGAAACAGAAGGGGCTCTTTAGGAACCAGTTCTGGGGGGACAACAGCCCGGCTTCGAAGGCCAGGGCAGGCCAGGGTGGAAGGAGGAGGCCTTTTCTCAGGCTGCGAAGCTGGGCCCTGGCATTCAGCGGCCTTTTTGCCCTTCAGAAGCCCAGAGGTTCCCAGAGAGACTCCAAACTGCACTTAGCGTATATATGAATGAAGGCCACTTCTGTCCTGCGAGAGTGCAGCCTTCCCCTTGGAGCATCTGAGGTCCAGGCTCATTGTACATCTCCCGGACGCTTGTCTTCAGAGAGTTCACCTTGCACATATGTGGATTGGCGTTTCAGCCCGTCCACCCGATAAGCCCTGAACCTCGCAGAATTAATCTTGATGTGCCGGACAGAAAAAAGTCTTCCTCGCGCGCCCAGCCTGCTCCTCCAGCGGATCGCGCTCCTCCTCGAGGGCGCGCACCTGCAAGCAGAAGCCCTTGCCCTCTGCCCTGGCTCTCGAGCAGGGGACGTGCCTTGTGGAAGAGCACGAACCGGAAACTCTCCAGGTGCTTCATCTGCCTAGACATGCGCCAGCAGTAAGAGTGACGGTGACAGAGCAAGCAAGGCAAACATGTCGGCGTTGCTCCCGCAGCTTGTTGAGGCTTTCGTCCTTCACCTGCGACAGCAATCCAGGTTGCAGTAAAAGCTTTCTGCGCTGGGACTCTCGGTTGCTTCAAGCTTCGAAGGACCCTAAACCCTAAACCCTAATCACCTAAACCCCTAATCCCTAAACCCCTCAACCCCTAAACCCCTCAACCCCTAATCCCCTAAACCCCTAATCCCCTAAACCCCTAAACCCCTGAACCTTAAACCCTAAACGCCTAAGCCCCAAGCCTTCAAGCTCCGCTCCCGCTCCTTGAGCTGGGCTCGAACCTGCCGGGGAGATCTGCTTCTTCTGGCCACGAAGCGAAAGCAAGAGACGGACCGAGTCGTACAAGCCACTATAAGTACGATTCAGAAATAGCTAAGGAAGAAATTCGGAAAGAAACCAGGACGATAAAACTCTAAACCCTAAGCCCAAATCCATCACAGAGAGTGAGAGTGTGGGGGTATGCCTTGTCCACCATCTCCTGCGATGCCTGAAGCTTCTTGCGCAGCTCCTCCGGGAAGATGGCACTGGATAATTAGGGCGCCTCCCTTTGTTTCCTAAGTGTGCAGACCTTCGGCGAAGGGTGCCCCCTTACTCGGCCATGCCCTGATGCGTTGTCGCCAATGGCCACAACACCACAGAGCACTTGCTGAAGAAGTTGCAGGGTCGACGAAATGCCAAGCAGGCGAGAACGGCAATAATCAAGGTCCCCACATCATAGAATCCTTACAGTGACCCTGTAGACCTTACAGAATCCAGTATAGTGACCCAGCAGCTCCTCCTGCTGCTGTGCAGCCTGCGCAGCAAGGAAGGGCTCGGGAACCCGAGAACCAAAAAGCCTCCAAAAATTGACTGCACAGGGACGCCTGAGCATGGAGTTCATAAGCTTTGGTCGCTGAGGCTTCCAAACCCCAAGTCCCTAAACCCTGACTCCCTCAACCCGAACCCTGAACCCTTAGACGCCTCAACCCCCCACGGTCCACGACCGAAACGCAGAATTCCACCCCTGCGCCCCAAACCCCCACATCCTAGAGACCCCCCAAATCCCTCAAAAACCCTTGCCGCCTCGATGAGTTCGGCATCCTTGGCCTTCACCTGATGAGTTTGTTGTAGGTTTGGGCGCTTGGGGTTTAGGGCTTAGAGTTAGTTCAGGGTCTTGAGATGTCTTGAGGTAGAGGGGCTAAGGGGTGTAGGGTGGTTTGGAGTTGGGTTTGAGGTTCAGGCTTGGTTTGTCAGTTCGACATTGGGTTTATTGCGTGTCGAGTGTAAGGAATGGAGAGCTGAGCAATCCAAGTGATGTCACTCGACCATTTAATCGTTCTGGTGTGACCGGGCTACAACGGTGCAGAGACAATGCGAGGAGCTTACGGCATCTTACGGCGCACTCGTCAAGGCTTGCAGCGACCTTCGAACGTCGCGGGGCATGCACCCCCAAACGGAAGCTGCGCAGAATCAGAGGTGGCAGAAGGCTGACCCTTGTGTGGACAAGGACCCGAGCTTGAATCCTACAAAGCTTCTGAGGCCCAAGGCCCGAAACCCCGTGGGCGCCTGATTCTGGAGCATTCCAATCGTCTGCTTCATGCTCACCCCATCCTGCCAGTGTTCCAAGGTCTGGTGTGTGTGTGTGTGTGTGTGTGTGTCTGTGTGTGTGTGCTCCGTTCAAGGCAGAAGATGCAGGGCGGCGTTGTTCTCCCATCCTTGAGGGCCGTGGTGGCTTTCTCGGACTCGTCCTGCAATGCTTTGCGCCTCGGCGGCAGAGCCCTCGAGGCCCCAGGGAGGGCCCAAGAAAGGCGCATGATCCGATCCGACAGAAAACATCACGGGCAGGGATGAAGAGCAGCGTCTTTAGCTGTGGCTCGAAGCTAAAGAAGGCCCTCATGGCCAAGCCTGCTCTTCGACAACTTCGGGGAAGTTCCGTCTAGCCGTCCAGATAGGCTCCTAAGGTCCTAAAGCCCCCTCGAAACACCCCCAAATATAACATGGATCTCCCCGCAGTTTAGACGTTTAGGACATGGAGCTGACTTAAGAGGTTTGGAGTCTGTCGACCTGCTATTTTCCAGGGGAGCAGCTCTCTCTCGAGGATCTCGACGATCTGGTTTTCGTATTCTGACTCCTCGCAGAGCGGTGCGATGACCAAGGAGCAGCGCCGCGTAATCAAGGCAAATCTAACTTGAGCATTTCGCCAGTTAGCTCCTGCTGGCGCAGAGCTTCCTCGAACTTGAGGCCATCGGATTTCAGAAGGTTGCAAACCTCGGAGATTCTTTGGCGAGACGGCTGGTATTGCCGACCCTGGACTGGCTAGTCTCAAGAGTATCCTCGCTTCTGGGCTCACACTCGCCCTTCTACAATGAAGAGTCCAGCGGGAATGATCGGCAGGAATCGTCCGATTATCCGCCTGTGGATGTTTGTTCTTCTGCACTCTCGTACTGTGCATCCAGGCCTTGTCGTACTCCACCCTCCACTCGCGCAAAGCATTCTCCTCCCACTCGCGTCACATATGTATTCATCTAGAGACGTGGCATGCAGCCGCGGCTTCCCATCCGAGATCCCTAAAATCCACAAATCGAAGCCTCAAGGCAATACCGACGCTGAAAACATCCTTCCGCCGGAGCCACTTGACTGGCAAATCAACTCTCCACTCAACGCCACGTTTCGAAGACCTTCCATGTTGAACCGTCCGTTGGTGTAATCATCAAAAGTCGTGTGAGGAGTTGAGGGGAAGCCTAAGAGACCATTCAAAGGAATGTGACCATCTCAGAAGCAGAAAAAAAAAACATCCTGTCAGTTGAACCTGTGACACTCGACGATGGCAGCGGGCATCTAGCATTGCTCCGAAACTGCAGCAGCAACTGAAACGGCAGAACTGCTACAAGAACCCGAAACTTGAGTCGCAGAAAGACAGCGGGAAAGCCCTCCTGCGCCGCGCGGAGCTCCACGAGCTGCTCTTCGTGGGCTTTTTGCATCTGCCAGAAATATGCGGAGACTTTGGCTATGAGGAACCTCATAGAGTTTAGGGCAACTTTCGGGAGCTATTGGGCTGAGGGCTGTGTAAGACTTAAAAAGCCCCGAAGTTTGGGGAACCTCTGAAGCCCCAAAATCCCTGACACGCTGCGTTCTCCCGGGGCATAGGAACTCTTATCGCAACCCTTGAAGAAACCCTCTTTTGGAACAAAGATATAAGGGAAGCCTTGATGAAAGGAACCCTGAAAGAGGTCTTTGCCTTGGCTTTGTCCTCCTCGAACTCGTCGCGGAGAGTCTGGAGCTCCTGGGCAAACGACACGAGAAGGCATGAGCGCTCCCAGTGAGAAGCAAGGGACCCTTCAAGTATCGGATCCTACATAGTAGAACGGGCTGAATATACTGGAACTCGGATCCGTACCATAAGGGGCCCTAGACAATCTTTCAGTTGGGGCAACTTACGGTCCTCAAGTCGCGGAACGAGCGAGACCTTGGACCCCATCCTCTAAGGATCCTAAGGACCCTACACCTAACCACTAAGCCAAGCGCCCGGAACCGCAGACCCCGTGACCCTAAGCCCTATAACCCTTTAAATCCTAAACCCCTAAACCCCTAAACCCTAAACTCTGGGGCTCCCGGCATCCAGCAACTTGCTGTTTTTCTCGTACTCCCTTGAGATGCTGCCTTCGAATCGGTCCTGTCAGCTCTGGTAGACTGGAGAGCAATTTAGGGGTTTAGGGCTTATAGGGTTTATAGGGCTTACAGGGTTCATAGGGTTTAGGGGTTTAGGGGTTTAGGGTTTATAGGGTTTGCAGGGTCTAGACTTTTGGAGACCATGTCCCCTCCGAGGGATCCTGGAGCTTCTTGTGCTTGTTGTCGAAGTTGCTGTTGGCATCCTGCATCTCCTGGCGGCTTCCGAAGGCTTGGGCTTGGGAAGGCGGGAGGCTGAGAAACCGAGATTCCAGGGACGCAGAGGAAAATTGACGCAGTCCAAAAGAAAGGGAGACACGGCACAGTAGGGAACAGAGAGCTACCGAGATGCAAATGCAGCATCGCACTCCGACAAATAAAAGCAATGGCAGATGTCAAAGACCCGTACCTGGCATGATGCCTCAACCTTGAAACCGCGCGGCAAAGATGGCAGTTGCACCACAGTGTGACGCTCTGTAGTCTGCTGGAGCTGCTTGAAGAGATCTGAGCCGCAGAAAGCTTTGCTTAGGACTGTTGCAGGGGATGGCAGGGGCCGGGCTGTCGTACTTCTCGTCAGACACTTTCTTCTCTTCCCGCCGCCTCGTCTCAACCGCACGCTTCAGGTCTAGCTGGCGGCTGGTGTTGTGGGGATTCCCGGGAAGAATCTTCTGGAAGAGATCTCACTGCCCAAACTGCAATGTCCATGCACTTCCACCGACTCCACCTGGCCCTGGGGCATGGCGCTGCATTAGGAACCCAACTCCACTTGGATGCTGATCAGCTTCTCTTGCAACTCGTTCTCCTGCGCTGATCTACTCTGCAACTTGTGAGGCTCTAACCATGGACCGAAGATCCTGAATCTGGGGTTTAGGACAACTCCAAAACATCCGACGTTGTCCAATTTGTCCTTCTGCTCCAGGATGTGGTCGCTCTCGTGCTTGAGTCCCTGCCTGGGATGCTTCTTGCGGGCAGGCTGACACAGCCGTTTGGGGACTCCAAACGGAACTGACACCGTTGAAGCGAAGTTGCAAACAAAACTTGTCGACGTTTTGGGTGGTTTTGACACCGCAACTGTAAAAACGAATCCGAAGGAATTCTATATTAACTTTGTAATTATAACTATTCTCCCACCATAGACTGCCGTATACACTATGGAGCTTCCGATGGCGATCCTTGCCGATCCATTCAGGGAAAAGGCCCAAGTGAAAGCGGAGACACGCTGCCTCAAAGACCTAGCACAAGAAACAATAAATTGACGAAGAAGTTAAACTCGGCAAATCAATTCTACGATGGCCGAAAACCCTTCTTGTTAACGCTGGCCCTGGCGAGGCCAATAGGGCCCAGGGTTGTGACACCAAGCGTGAGCAGCAGACATTCGGTCTTCAAGCTCGCGGATTTCGCTGAGGACGTCAGTCAAGTAGGCCTGGCTGTAAGCTTGGGTTGATAAGTTTGTAGTTGTCAAGCTTCGGGGAAATATTGACCTACGGAAAATTGCGGTACTGCTCGTGGTGACATGACGGCTACCAATTTAGGATCGGACGTGATGCTCTGACAAGCATCTTGCCAACTCTACCATGCAACAGACACAGATCGCTTGCGACGGTGCTTCGGCCTTTGGTATCATCAGCAGGTCGTCGAGGGATGCCGTCGTGGCTGAGATCTGAGTGTGCGAGGAAATCTATAGCAGAAACATTGAGTGTGCTGTGCGAGGAAATACAAAAAGCAGAAACATCATGCTGGCCTCTTATAAAGTGAAAAAATCGAGCCCTTTCCACCAACGCTGACTTTCCATGTCTGCCGCTTTCAGGACGCGACAGCTCGCACGGCTTCGCAGAGCTTTTGCTGAAGGTCGCGTGCCTGCGAATTAGCTAGACATTCGGCAGCTCGAAACGGAAGGCTGCGAGTGACATCTTGCCAAATTGCTTGATCTCCGCTCTCCAGGCCAGCAAGAAAAAGGCACACTGACGGCACCTTCTTTTCATCCTCACGTTGTGCCTGGCAGATGGGTGTTCCACGCTTGTTCAGCTTGTAAGCCGTTTGTGGCTCGGCCAGAGGCAAGTAGGATCAAACGCTCCAACCTCCAATCCCCCCGTTTCCCCTGGCCCTGGGCAGAGGCATCGCCTTGCTCGCTGCCGCTTTATCCCTTTCGCCATACCTGAGGGCTCGGGAATCTGTCGCCCCCCGCACAAGCTCCCTGCCTAGAGTATTGATCGTGCATCCAGGTTGCCGGAACCGAACGATCTTCTGGTCCAGCCTGGCCGGGTCCCTAGACGCCGAAGCCCTGGCTAATACATGCCCTGCGCCCAGCCTAGCACCGGCGCCAAGAGCTCAAGACTCCACACTGCAACTTGCAAAAGACAGGTCGGGCAGACTCAGTGTGAGTGACCCGCTTCTGCGTTCCTTCCGAGTCCACGGAGTGCTGCGCCACCTGGCTTTGTGTGTTTCAGTCACGATTCTGCAGTCCCCCGAAGCGAGGTGCCATAGGCCCACGGGTGCTACACTGCAAACCCCGATTCCGAAAACTTCAGGAGCCACAAGATCCTTGCAGCTGCGCCGGTCGTGCCTCGCAGCACAGGACCGAGCCACCCTCGCAGCCTTTGTGCTCTACGAATGCAGGGGGCGGTGACTTCGAGATTTGGCTTGAGGACTTCTCTGCTGGAAGTCGCTTCGGTCTTGGAAGCCCAGCTTAGCTTTCGTGCTTCCGGGACTAGAGTGCTTTGAGGGGGCCTCACATTCCCGACCTGGGCCTCGAGTCCCGAAAGCGCCCGACCGGAGAAGAGGTAGCGCGCGTCGAAGGAAAGCGTCAGCTTCGTGATGCTGTGGGCCTGGCGAGTTGCTTCCGCATTTTGAAAGCACAGTTGCTGAAGTCCTGACGTGATCTCTCCTCTCCCAAACCCCAAACTTGAGCTTGAACCTGAAAGTTACTTCCTTGTCAAAACCTCAACTACACGCTTCCCGGTCATCCGGCCGGAAGGGTAAGGCCCCGGCGTGCAGGGAGAGTTCCGTGAGGAGGGCGACACCACCCTGTGAACTGTGGCATCTCAGGCATGCACTTGTGCTTTGGTATTGCAGCTTTCTGATTTCGTTTTAAGTTTGTGCGCCAGTTCATGCTCCGAATCAAAACACGAACGAAGCGAACATGTGCCGCTGTGCGGTCAAAACAGGGTGCTTTTTGCTTGTCCCATCAACTCTGACTTGAACAAAATCCGAACAGCTGTCAGTAGCCGCCCCTGTGGCAAACCGCAAAGAAGCCTCTTTAGAGCACTGGCAAAGAAAGAAAGCGAAACCAGGATAGACTGTGTACATGTGGGTCCCGCGCTGCGCTGAACATTACAACACTTGCTACAACTCCCACTTTTAGCACGACCGAGGCCATGTTCCAAGCATCATTGCCACCGCTGCTACTAATCCTCTCCGTACCGCTGGAACATGCCATTAGAATTGCGGAAGCCGATGCCTGTACTACTGACCTAACATAACCATGAAACATCAGACGCGAGTCTTGCCAAAACTACTGTTCCCACTGCTACAACAAGCACGGTTACGAGTCGTCATACGACGACAGAACGAGTACTGCTGGCTTTACGAGTGTTGCTTGTTTCCATGACTACCAACAAGTCGTACTGCATGTGCAAAACTGCTGTTGCTCTGCTTAGCCCACGGTTTGCCCAACCACGACGAAAATTTCGAGCAGACTGGAACTTCGAACATTACAAGCACGCATGCTCTCATGACTGCTACGTGTGTTGCTGCTGCTGCTGCTGCTGCTGCTGCTGCTACAAATACTGCTACTGCTGCTGCTGCTACTACTACTTCTACTACTACTACTACTACTACTCCTCCTCCTCCTCCTCCTACTCCTACTCCAACTCC